TAACACGTTAGATTGCACCCCATAAACACAATCAAGCCTAGAAAAAAAACAGTGAACCACCCCTTTAAGGAATATCAAGTTAAAGGAATAGTTCACCAAAAATGTAAAATTACTGAATATTTACTCACCCTTCGGCCATCCAATATGTAGATTATTTTGCTTCATCATCAGAAAAGAACAGATTTGGAGAAATTTAGCTTTGCATCACTTGCTTACCAGTGGATCCTCTGCAGTGAATGGGTGCCATCAGAATGAGAGCCCAAACAGCTGATAAAAACATCACAATGATCCACAAGTAATCCACACGACTCCAGTCCATCAATGAACATCTATCTATTAAAGGGGTCATGAAATGCAGTTTCAGATTTTTATATTACATTTCTTAGTTTATAAAGAGGTTCTCCCAATTTCAAATCCGGGCATTTCAGAATAATAGAAAAGTATATTTAGATTTTAAACCGGCTTATTTTTGAGTTCTAAAACTTGCAAATGTTTTTTTTTTTGTAGTGTAACCGCTTATGTTTAAATATAAAGAGCATTTTGATTGGACTGGAATGTGTTGATTATTGTTGTTTTTATCAGCTGTTTGGACTCTCATTCTGACGGCACCCATTCACTGCAGAGGATCCATTGGTGAGCAAGTGATGTAAAGACCAACTAGTTGTTCAGGCAATGAACATGCAATGAAATCATCACTTAATTTCTTTGACAGGGAAGACAAAAGCTGGCAAGGTTTAATGCTCATGAATTTGCCACACTTGTGATTGATATTCTAAGTGATGCAAAGCGACGCCAGCAGGGGAATTCAGTCTCAAGTCCTAAAGGTACAGCCTGCATACAGACACACCAGCCTTACGCCTTGATTTCTTTTAAAGTTCTTATTGATGTTTCATGATTGTTGTGTCTACTTTTTCATAGACAATGTTGATGTATTCTTCAAAAGTATGGGTAGTCGTCATGGAAGTGAAAGCCAGGAAATTGACCAGCCAGACTATGACAGTGTGGCATCTGATGAGGACACGGAAACTGATTTACGAGTGGGCAAAGCAGACAGAGCTAAGGTAGACCTGTAAAGATTTAGGAACTTTGTCTTGTGCCATTCTTGCCATCACAGTGTACCCAGCTGCTACTTTTCTCCTCAGAGTCTGGACTCTGATCTGTCCGATGGACCGATTTCCATGCAGGAGTTTCTGGAGGTGAAAAATGCGCTTTCAGCCTCGGAGGCCAAAATTCAGACACTGATGAAGGCCAACAGTAATCTGAGTGAGGAGCTGAGATTGATGCAGAAAAAGGTACCAGAGGTTCAGCAGTGAGCGCTGAATGCCCTGGTCAGAGCAGCTAAACAAAGCAAGACTATCTAACCCCTACACCTGCACCTCTTCTCGCACGTGAGGGGGCAAATTTGACTGAAAGATTAAGATTCTTAAAATCCCCTGGAATGCTGATGTCACAATAATACTGTAATACCTGCTGTAGTGTTCAAATAACCAGCATGACGTTGACCTCTAAACCACTGGAAAAGACCTACAGTATTAGAGACATGAAACCAAAACATACTGACTGTTTGGCATTTGAATGCAGATGATTAGCTGGCATGCTATCCTCCCTAACCACAAACCTGATTTATAAGTTGGCTCTTGCATCAGCATGACTCATTTTAATTGGCTGTGTTCTATATGTATTTACATTATACAAGGGTTTCCAGAATACAAATCAGAGCTAAAATTGATTGACTATAAAACAATTATTATGAATTGAATTTGGAGCCTTTCGGGCCTTTATTGTCATTTCAGTGTGAAAATCGTTTAAAATATAATTTATTTCTCTTTCACACTGACATTAAAACCCATTTAAGGATTATTCTGTTAGATGATAAATTGTAATTTAGTTGGAGAGAATTTCCTCACACTCACTGAAGTGTGTTTAATATAGTCATCCATAAATCAAACTCTAATTGTTTAGTAATGTTTTCTCAAATATAAAATAAGGTCAGTCCCTAAATGGCCCGGCATTTAAAGAAATGACAGTTCCAGCTTTCCTGTGACATTTCTAATTGAATTCTAGCCAAAAATGGTGATTGATGTATATTAAAGGTTTGGTTATGGATGGTTTTGACTGTTTACCACTTTCAGTCCTCTCATAAAAGAACATGTAACTAGTTTAGTGCTTAAAATGTATGACGATTTGAAAGTGGTTTTGGATTATATCTATGTCCTGCACAAAAGGTTATACATGATGTTTCTCGGATGCTATTATAAATGTTTGTGATTTAGAAAAATTAGGCCATTGTGACATTTGTATGATAAACTGTGTGGCTTTGCATTGGATGAACATCTGACTGGGTAAAAATAGAAATGGGCAAAATCATTTTATCATGAGTGAAGTCTTTAGGCTTTTTGTTACTCTCCGCATTTCCTTTCTGATCCTAGCCAGTGTGTCTGACTCGAGCTCTTTGGCTTTTCTCTGAGCTGCAGAGTGAATCTCTGTCTCTCTCTCTCTCTGTAGACTCTTAAGCATGTCTAACTTGCGCTTGTTCTGTGAGCATGTCTAGACATTGCATCTGCCAGTGCCTGCATGCTAAACTGAACTTTTTGCTGTTAAGAAGTTTGGATTTATCGAGCAACTCCATATAATGGTTTCCTTGAACTTGATTGTAATTATTTTTTCATCATAATTTTGAAGTACAACAGTTAATTATTTGAATAAGATATAAGTAAATGTCTCATTTTATAGAACATTTTAAATTGGTTTTAAAATAAAAAATATTTAAAAGTAAATTTGTTCAAATTTGACGAATTTTAATTTGTAATTTGCTTTTTTATTACAATATCACAAGCCCCCTGCAGTTTCATGGATCAGAAATCTTCTTCTAAAAAGATGGATATTATGCTAATTAGTATTAATAATATTCATTTCTCATATGCCAGATTTGAAAGCGATTTCATCAAACTAAATAGAAAATATGATGTTCATTTTTATTATTTTTTCACTACAATTTAGTAATTGGATTTCATTCACTAAGAATGTTTACACACAAATTTGTGCATAAAATCTGCATACGAACATTTTCACGAACAAATCATTTACAAAAAAGTTGTACTAAAATGTATTCAAAAATTTATGAACAACTGAAACTACACATACACAAAAAGCACATACTTTTGGATGGAGGTCTTACAATTGTGTTAAGATACAAATTAATATATAAATATAAATTAAATATATTTCATATAAACTGAAAGAGTAGAAAAAGCTGCATTGTAGCTCGAGCTGCGAGGTTTCTCTGAATAACAACTCTAATATCGATTAGGAGAAAAAATTTATCTGAATCCGTTCCATTGTTTTGATACAAATTGTATTTATCAAATGGAAAAGGCAAATATAAAAATTGTGTAGGCCTGTAGTTGGCGACACTCTAGGTGGGAATTTTGAAACTGAACATTATTTAAATATTGATTAAGAGTTTTTCTTGTAAGCTCAGCTTTGCTACAGTTTCTGCTTTTCTCTGCGTTTCTCTGGCTTACTCGTGTTTCTCTTCAGCTGCAGTCTCTGCAAAGCGAGAACAGCTCTCTCAGGCGGCAGGTCTCCACTCAACAACCCTATCAGGCCCCCGGCGGCCCTGACCACCCCAATCCCTCCAGTCCCTCCTCCTCTTCCTCCTCCTCTGCCCTGAAACGCCACCTGTCTGCACAGGCGAGCCGCCCAATGTCTATGTATGAAACCGGCTCTGGTCTGAAGCCCTTTCTCCCCAAGGGAGAGACCCCTTACCCGGAGGAGACCTTCCCCACCCTGCAACCCTTCCCAACCTATGTAAGTAAAAACCTGCCTCTCACCTTCTCTCCTTCCTTTTTATTCACCTTCCTTTTCAAAAGTTGCAGCATGCTATGGTGCATTTCCAATTCTCAGCACTTTATGAGCGATTCCAAAATACACGTGTTGGACTACTCCATGTATTTCTTCACTTTGTATCCTGTTGGCTCACATAGCAGCTATTTCACCATATTTTCTGTTTCCCTTTTTCAATTTCCTGTGTCAGTTGGGAGATACAAAACATGTCTTTATGGCCAACTCAATGCATAAGTCACACAGTCTCATTCTCATTGCTTTATGTAACTTAGTTTGTACATATAATTTTAATTTTTAATTTCAAGCTAGAAGGTGAAGGTGCACTTAGCTAATTTTTTGTGTTTTACTGGCCAGTATGACTGATAATGTTGTACCTGTGTTCAATAATTGGGATTTACTGAGATAAAGTGATTTTTATTTTAAACCATAAAAATATCTGTTGTACATGTCACAGTTATTCAAGCTCACAAAATTCATCTTGATGTAAAATGCCCAGTATTTTATTTTCAGTTGTCTTTTTACAATGTATGTTCCTATATTCATTTCCTTTTTCACTTTTTCATTGACCTTTTGCATGTTGATATTAAAATTTTTTTTTAACCCTATGCCTTTTCATCGCTTTTACTGCTTATTAATGAAATTGATTATTTTCCAATACATGTAAATGTTGCAGCTGTTCAAACTTTATTCATCAGTCATTATTATTCAACACTGGGTTTGTGCTGGGTCCTTTCAAAATGTTTTTTCATGATTGTTCATAATACATAACTAATATGTGACCCTGGAGCACAAAACCAGTCTTACGTCGCTGGGGTATGTTTGTAGCAATAGCCAAAAAAACATTGTATGGGTCAAAATTATTGATTTTTCTTTTATGCCAAAAATCATTAGGATATTAAGTAAAGATCATGTTCCATGAAGATATTTCCTACTGTAAATATATTAAAACTTAATTTTTGATTAGTAATATGCATTTCTAAGAACTTAATTTGGACAACTTTAAAGGCTATTTGCTCAATATTTAGATTTTTTTGCACACGCAGATTCCAGATTTTCAAATAGTTGTATCTCTGCCAAATATTACATCAATTTACATCAATGGAAAGATTATTTATTCAGCTTTCATATGATGTATAAATCTCAATAATAAAAAAAAGACCCTTATGACTGGTTTTGTGGTCCAGGGTCACATATTGATATATAATGTTAATAATGTATTGGTATAAACTACCAGTCAAAAGTTTGGGGTCAGTAATATTATTAATTTTATTAATTAATAATAATATTGATACTTTTAGAAAGTGCATTAAATTGATCAAATTGGACAATAAATGTAATGTTACAAAATATTTCTATTTCAAAAAAATGCTGTTCGTTCGAACCTTTTGTTCATCATTGAATATTGAAAACTGTATTGTGGTTTACATATAAATATAAAGCAGAACAACTGATTTCAACATTGAGAATAATAATAAATGTTTCTTGAGCAGCATATAAGAATAATTTCTGAAGAATCATGTGGCTGCTGAATATTCAGCATTGCCATCACAGGAATAAAACCCATTATAAAACTATTCTAGAAGAAAACTGTTATTTCAAAATGTAATCATATTTCACAATATTACTATTTTACTGTATTTTTGATCAAATAAATGCAGCCTTGGTGAACATAAGACACCTCTTTCAAAAATATTCAAATATCTTACCAACCACAAACTTTTAAATGGTAGTGTGTATAAATTAATATTCAATTAGATTATTGTAATTTCATGATAGCTTCTGCATTAATGGTAAAGAATCAAACCTTACTGTGAAATGTTACCAAATTATTACTATTGACAGACTACTATTTTGTTAGATTGTTACTGTTGATGACATGCTGTTTTACAAAAGTCAAAATTACTCTATCACCTTGTTCTCTAGTCCAGGCTCTCCATCATAGCAGAGTATTTTAAGAATTTTGCATTTGTTTTTTCGTCAATTGTCTTTCATTCTCTGTCTTAAGTCTAATTTGCACCCCTTTTTAGATCGGAAAGGGTGTGTTTGTGGCCACCTCCTCTTCCCTCCCCTTCCTCCCCTCCTCCTCCTCATCCTCCCCATCCTGTTTGTGGGATGAGAGTGCGCAAAGGGTTAAGTACATTCTCACATGCTCCGTTCATCGTGGGAGCGGACCGAAGCACCAGGATCCCTTTACCTCCTTTCCACCCTCCTTCACAAACTCATCCTCTGCCTCCACAACTCCCATCCATCCCTTCTCCTCTTACACCTGTTGTGCTCCACGCATCACCATGCATGAACAGTCCCTGCACCAACCCTCCAGGGGCTGCTGTTTTCAACTGATACGTATTTCTGCCTTCATCATCACCATCATCCTCATAGATAGCACATACATTTCATGGCTCGTGTCTTCATTCCCAGGATGCACTGCTCAGGGCTTGTCCACTGCTGCTACTGCTTCTGCTCACTCATCTCTTCAGGATGTCTTGCAATGCTACGTGCTCTGGGCTGAGACTAGAAAGAAGAAATACACAATTATGAAACACTGATATGTAAATGGTTTGGATTAGCTTGGTCACTTTTGTGCGTGCAGATTGCAGCCATATTTAGATTCATGTTTCTGTTGTCACTGAGTGTGTGCGTGCATTTTGGGCCTTGTTTATGGCGGGGTTTTTTTTTTTGTTAATGCATTGATCTGACAATTAATCAATTTCCTTTCCCTTTTTTTTACCCAAACGGTTAAATACACTACCATTCCAAAGTTTGGTGTTGGTAAGTTTTTTTTTATTTTTATTATTTTTGTTTGTGAAAGTCTCTTATGTTCACTAAGGCCGTGTTTATTTGATCAAAAATACAGTAATGTGAAATATTATTACAATATAAAATATTTTCTATTTTAATATATTTTCAAATAGAATTTATCCCTGTCATGGCAAAGCTGAATTTTCAGCAGCCATTAATCCAATCTTCAGTGCCACATGATCTTTTAGAAATCTTTCTAATATGCTGAATTGGTGCTCAAGAAAAATGTATTTTGACTAATACTGAAAGCAGTTGTGTTGCTTAATGTTTTTGTGGAGTCACAAGGATTCATAAAAAGTTCAAAAGATCAGCATTTATTTGGAAAATAAATCTTTTAAAATTACTTTTACTGTCACTTTTGACCAATTGAATGCATTCTTGCTAAATAAATGTATTAATTTATTTTAGAAAAAAAAAAGCATTTGAATGGTAGTGTATGTCCTCACTTGAAGTCATCCGAGGATCTGGCATTTTTACAGCTGAGAATGTTAACAATTATATTGTGTATGGAATAGAATCTGCAATGCAGTACATCGGGCATTATTAATATAATCGATTATTAAATTGTATTAAACTTTTTTAAATTGTTAGATCAATACATCACAAATCGATGCATTTTTACATACCTGTGTACAAGGAGACGTGTGGAGAGCAGAAGCATAAAAAGTGATTGTGGAACATTCATTTGATTATTCTGACATGATGTGGCGGTTCTCCAAGCATCAAGACTGGTGCTGCCTGACAAGAAATTGATAGAATACTCTGTTACACTAATTTAGTAATGCCCCAGGTTAGAGTGATGCTGGCATCTGACCCCATTACCGTATTATCCTTTGGCACAGTGAATCATGCTCCAGTGAAGCTGTCAAATATCTTTACTGTAAATGCTTTACTACACTATGAAGGAATACACTGATCAGGGCCATGATCTAGATTCAATTATAATCCTGAGTTTAACCCCTAAGGACACACAAGTTGTTTAATAGCTAGTTTACTTTAATTTTTGCATATGCTGGTCATTGCTTCAAAACAGATGACCTACCACTGGATTCAAAAGTGCATTCAAGGTACAGTTGTAAACTTACTACAATGATTTCTGTTCAAATATTTTCAAAATGTAGTTTATTCCTGTGATGGCAAAACTGAATTTTAGTAGCCATTACTCCCGTCTTCAGTGTCACGTGATCCTTCAGAAATCATTCTAATAAGCTGAATTGGTGCTCAGGAAACATTTCTAGTTATTATCAATGTTGAAGATAGTTATGCTGTGATGCTTCTCAAAGATTAGTGCCTGAAATATCTAATGTATCTCAATACTAAAAGCTTGCTTATACTCTGCTGACCATTCAGTTAATGCAGATTGTTCAGTTTAATTTCATATGAACCACAAGACATGTTGATATTTCCAATGCCATCACAGCAATTTCATTGTGTGTTTTGTGTTATTTTACTCTATCCTTTCCTGTCTCTTTAGGTCTCCAAATTTGACAAGCAGAGCAGTGTGTCTGATGGCGACTACGATAACACTGTCAACGAATCTGATCTGGACGACTCCGGGTATGTGTCCATTTTACTTTTTACGACTCCTGGCTCAAATCCTGCTGGCAAACAAAACCAGTCTTTTTTCCCTCTGAAAATAAGAACTGCCTGTCCTCCACTTTTGGCCAAGTAAAGTGAGGAAACACACTAATGATGCTCTAAAGGCATCAAGTAATTGTGCATCAAGCATTACTCATCCCTGACGCCTTGGTTCCATTTATATTATGTCCTCCCTCTCTGCAGCTTTGGCCGAAGATGTCGTTTGCGCAGCAGTGGCTGGATGGGAGACAGTGGCTCTATACCCGAGCTGGATGATCACGAATGTGAGCCTGACCCCAGTCTGCCCAGCACTGAAGACGTCATCCATAAAACTGAGCAGATCACCAAGAACATCCAGGAACTGCTGAGGGCTGCGCAGGAGAACAAGCATGAGAGGTGAGAGGACATCCAATGTCAACATCTCCCATCTCCTATTTCTTCATATTTGGCAGCAATAAATCTGAGGTTAAAATAAATCTAATTCCCTTCTTGCTTTTGTTAACTTCTGCCACATATTTAACAATTTCACATGTAAATCGTTGGCACATTCCATGAGTAGGGTACAAATTGTTTTCGCATTACTTAATTTAAAGGGATATTTGATCAAAAAAATAAATAAAAATCTGTTATAATTAATTCTGTATTCACCCTCATGTCATTCCAAACCTGTATGACTGACTTTCTTCTACGGAACATAGAAGATATTTTGAAGATTGTTGGTGACCAAACAGTTTTGGTTCCGATTGACTTTTATTGTATGGACAAGAATTACAGTGCAAGTCAATGGGAACTGAAACTGTTTGGTCACCAACATACTTTAAAGTATCATCTTTTGTGTTCCACAGAAGAAAGAAAGTCATACAGGTTTGAGGGTGAGTAAAAGATGACAGAATTTTAATTTTTTTGGTGGACTATCCCTTTAAAGCATTAGAGACACAAATCCATGTTTTTAGTTGTGAGAACTTTTAGATATTTCAGATGAAATCTAACATAATACCAAAGCATGAAAAGTTAGCACTTTTTTTTTTTTTTCCCAACCTTTACCTTCTCAACTGTTACCAACAATTAACATCGTACCACAATGACATCATTTTGAAAATGTGTTGAATTAATATCTAATTCACTATAGTAAAAATATATATTTTTTTTAATAAAAATGTTTAGATTCTTTTTGCAGCATGGAGGGGTGGAAAATAAATGCTTTTTACACAAATTTTAGTGTTGACGGCAAATCAAGTTATAATAATATGATAAATATGGGAAACATAAGCCAATATATCCAAGATTTAGTATCAGACTGACTAGTGTCCACTGAGTGATAGTTTAGTAGTTTAGACTATATTTGTCAGCTTTAGTAATATACTGTACAGTATAGATTTATAATATTGAATTTATAATTTATACATATATGTGTGTGTGTGTGTGTGTGTGTGTGTG